TATATATATATAATGATTAATAAGTGCAGATAATTTGTTAAAAAAGCATCTTATGTAAAAATGTTTATTTATACTGATCTATCCATTCGTGAATTAATAAAAACTGAAGGGAGAAGTCGTGCATGGAATACTCATTCAGAGATTAATTTCTTTCGCTTTAGCAAGGCCGGCTAGCTAAAATATTTCCAAGTGAGAAGAACTTTGCAATAGCATTAAGAGATCAGATATGTTTATTTTAAATTTAATTATTTTGTGCTCGTAATATCCTAAATATTAAATGTTTGGCTGATGAATAAGTACATTGTTTTTGCTGGGTTCTTCAATTGGAATTCTGCAGTTCTTTAATTGGGAATTAAGAAACAAAGCTACTGATATTTTTTGATTAGTCAATGGTAAAGCTTTCATTTAGACTATAATATCAAAGATATATTATTAAAAAGACGTACAATGGGAAAAAATGAATATAAATAAGGATGGAATAATGAAACAACATTGGAATAATCGAAATAAAAACTTAATATATCTGTTTTGAAATAAAGAAATGTTTTTTTCTTAATTTTCTATTTTATTTTTATGGATAAAAATGTACTTCATTTACATGCTACAAATAAAGAGCGTAATGATCACCGGTTGAAATTAAAAAAACAAAGAAATCAGTAATTGTATTTCCCAATTTTTATTTTAACAGTGTAACTCTTAACTAAAAGCTCACCTGACTTTAAAATCAGTTTCTTAAGTAGATTTTTTTAAATTGTACTAGACGTTTAACTTAGATTTTAAATTCAACATAACTTGGGAAAATAATTCTTTAAAAATATTATGATACATTTGGTGCAAAATTAAAATGTGAAAACCAAACTTGTTTTAGTTCGTAATAGATTTCTTCTAAGCACTAAATTGAAACTAGACTAAATTGAAACTAGACTAAATTGAGTTGATCATCTGTGAAGTTGCATTGCTTCTGAAATTTTGCTGGATTCAATAATAAATATGTATTTGTGTTGTAAATAAATTAAACAAAGCAAGTCTTTCTTGTTCAACTATAAGAGCAACTATCAATTCTTACACCATAAATCGTGGTTTATTCTTTCACTAACGGAATACTCGTGCTTCGTACGGAGAGGGGAAAAAGTAAATAATCAATAAATCAATTCTGAATAAGACAACGAATACACGCACAAAAGTAAGAGCTATTGCCAATACAATTAATAAAGCTAAAATAATTTTAATTCATTTATTTATTATTGCTATTTTACCCTTTCCGGTAGCTTTACGCTATTTGATTAAGCAAAAGATGCTTTTAGTGGTTCATCATCAAAAAAGAGATTTACTGTATTCTGTATCATTTGTATGATGCTGTTTCTAGAGGTTAATACATCGCAGTCAAAATTTGCCAGAATCAAACGATTTTCTATGATATTTATTCCTTTCGAAGTGTTTTAAAACATATTCACCTATATCGATATTAAAATTCCTTTTCTCTTACGTTACATGTATTTTTAAAATAATTCAATTTTTGGTTTAAATTTTAGTCATAAACATGATAAAACAGAAATTCGGGAAATATTTTTAAAAATACACAAGATGAAAGCAATCGAAATTAATAGGGCAGAAAATATAAAGATTCTTTTTTTAAATTAATTTTTTTACTATTTTATTTTATTTATATATATATTTATTTTTTATTTCATTCTTAATTCACTTTAATTTATTTATTTTATAATTTTTTTAACATTTTATCATTACTTTATTCTATTTATGTTTTTTTGTATTATTTTTTGACGGAACCAAATTAAACCAGACACCATAAATGTTAATTTTTAGGCCTTTGTGTAATTTTTTTAAAAAAAGTATGTTTTGATTTAAAAAAAAGTATGTTTTGATACTTGATAAAACAGAAATTCGGGAAATATTTTTAAAAATACACAAGATGAAAGCAATCAAAATTAATAGGGCAGAAAATATAAAGATTCCTTTTTTTAATTAATTTTTTTACTATTTCATTTTATTTATATATATATTTATTTTTTATTTCATTCTTAATTCACTTTAATTTATTTGTTTTATAATTTTTTTAAAATTTTATCATTACTTTATTCTATTTATATTTTTCGTATTATTTTTTGACAGAACCAAATTAAACCAGACACCATAAATGTTAATTTTCAGGCCTTTGTATAATTTTTTTAAAAAAAGTATGTTTTAAAATCACTCCAAAATAAGTAATATAATACAACATTCGTAATTGTCCCTTATTTTGATATGATAAAAGAAACTTGTTAAAATAGTGAAGTGGAGTGAGAGGGTTTGTTAAAAATTTCGATTTACGACGTCCGAACAAATAATATAAACTATTTCAAATCTTAACGAGCTTTGCGCTTTCTTCGATAAATCTATAAAATGGTTAGAAATGCTATAAATATAAAAAAAGAGAAACAAACTGATTATTTGAAGAGAGAAGAAATAAATTGATAACAAGAGATGATTATTAAATTAATTTTTTTTTTAGTAAAAATGCATTAAGAATAATAATAAAAAAACATCAAGAAAGTGTGAGGAAAGAAGGTTGATAGATAATCAATATCCGTTTTTACTTTGAAACTCGACTGGGAGTTTTTTAAAAAGAAATTTGACATTATATTGTTAGAAATACTAGTGTTATACAATTTCGAAAGTTGTTTCAAAGAAGCTGATTTTTGAAAGCGATAGATTCAATAAAGGGAATTGGTATTTTTTAAATTATATTTAGAAGGTTTATTTTTCCCTCGTGATCAAAAAACACCTGACTCCTGGGTAGTATCATTGAATCTGTTGTTAGCCATGAAACTTAACATTACTTTTTCTGTCATTGTACTGAATGCGTTTTGTTGCTTAAGTTGTGAAGAAAAACTTATGATTTGCTGTTACATATAACGATTTTTCTTTGAAGTACTTACTAATAGCATTAAAATAAATGCATAAGTTGACACCTTTTAACAATGAGGAAGAAAAAATTACTGGAATATGGTAAAGCGCACCGTATTTCGAGCTCTGCGGGAACACCAAAAACATGATAATTTTTACTGAAGCACTTCGTTAGTGACTTTTTGATAAAAGTTAACGATAAAGCATTGCTTTATTACCATGCTGATTTGTAGTAAATGTGGTAAAATTTGTTAATTTTAACCAAAATACGGTAATTGCAACAGTGCAAGTATTGTTTAAAATAATTAAAAATTTTCAGTTTGATAATCTTTACTTTTTTAGTAAACACTTGTTAGTTTTGTTTCTAATCGGTTCGTTGTTTTTTTATGTCAGCTATTAATTAACAACTACCAAAATTTATAACTACAGAAAATGTGAATGTACAAAACTGTTAATGCACGAAAAATATTAAACTAAACCAGTAGCATAGCTGTAACACATCAAAGCTGTCCCAACTTCTTAAAATGGAAGTATAGAAGAAGTGGGTTCGAATCTTACCATAACCCCGATGCATTTATTTATTGTGTTTTAGTGCCAAGAAAGCTTGTCTCCTGTCAAATTACAGAACATGTAGCAACAAAAAGAAGAAAAACAGCACACATATGGGTGATTCTCACGAAATATGACAATTTACAGTCTCTTGCTCCAAGATCT